GAAAGAGAATCTTTCCTCTGAATGGGGGGCAGGGGGGCGGATGGCCACATTGCAATCCCTTTTCCATTCTGAGATTCTGGGCACTCACACAAACATGCCTGGAGTGATTTTCCAAGCAACCAGGTCTGGGATTTGAACTGCAGTCTGCCATGTGGGAGTCTAATACATTAGCCACCATGCCACCTGCTGGCTCAGGAGAGCGGAATTTGAAGCTGATGGCATGCGATCTAGTGCCTATACGTGCATGGGTGCACATGTGGGTGCAGGTGCTTAGGCCAGCAGCCTCTGCCTTTGTGTTCCTGCATCTCCAAACTCTTTGCCTAGCCTGGAACCCCTTCTCTCACAATCTTGAAGGTGCTGCAGGAACATGCTTCTCATTAGGTGGAAATGGAAATTTGTTCAGATGTCACAATCTGGAAAAGAAAATTCTGAGGTGACACAAACTAGTGCCCTAATTAAGGTTATGCAGTTATTCATTTGTTATTAACAAGATGGGGATTTCCCAAAGGAAGACAAAAAGTAGTAACTTCTTTCATTATTTCAGGAAACTATAAAATTAAAACAAATTAATTAAGGTCATGCTCCAGAAAGATTTTGTAAATATTGTTCACAAAGGTTTTATTCTAATTGCCTAAAAATTGAGATTCCTTTGGAATGAGCCCCTTCAGTAACTTCTCTCAGATCAGGTGGCTTTCAGTGACACTGAAATTTCTTCGTACAGAAACTAACATCGTAATATTTCAGTGTACTTATGTCAAGCGGATTAAAACTGAACATCAGATGACTCACGATCCTGCTTCTGCTCTAAAGGTTGCCAGTTAAACTTTGTTTTTAAATTTTTGCCATAGGGCACAGGTGCTCACTGGAGAGAGAGGGAAAGTAAGAAAGTACTTCCCAGGGGGATGGCCATGCCACAATCCCTTCTCCATTCTCCCCTTGGGATTTTGGGCACACACGCACATGCATCTGGCATGAGTTTCAAGCCACCAGGTCCAGGACTTGAACCCCAGTTGGCCATGTGGGAATCCAGGTGCCTTAACCACCACACCATCTCTTGGCCTCCAGTTAAGCTATTTAATTGCATCATATTTATGTCAAAGTTCCACCTGTTTAAACTTCTGTATTCTTAGCTGATTTAAACAGTGGCACCTGAAAAACCTTTTTTTCCCCCTCCCAGATTTCCTCCAGCTAAACAGTTGTGTGGCATGTTTATTACCTGACCTTTGCTGGCCTTTTATGGGGCCAGCAGGGGGCATGGTGGTTAAGGTGGCTGGATTACCACCTGGCTGATTGTGGTTCAAGGCCCAGTCCTGATGGCTTGCTTTCTCACTTTCCTTTTCTCTCTCTCTCTGGCCAATTTCAAAAAATTAAATAAAACAATGACAATGAATGAAATAAAATAATTCTTAAAAAAAAAAGTCATAAGGACCAGCAGATGGCGTACTGGATACATTATTGGACTCTCTTGTAGTTGACCGTGGTTCAAGTCCCAGACCTAGTAGCTTAAACTCATGCCAGGCACATGTGTGTGTATGCACCAAGATCCCGAGAGGAGAAAGGAGGAGAAGGGATTGCGGCGTGGCCATCCCCCCTGGGGGGTGATTTCTCACTTTCTGTCTGTCTCTGTCTTTCTGGCGAGCACACATGCCCTATAGCAAAAATCACTCAAAAAAATTGTGCTTCTATTCAAAATGTGGTTATTTAGGGAAGTGTAAAATGTGCAGAGCTATATAATCCCAAGCCAAGAGGTGGGTCCCTGCAGGTGCTCCCCAGAAATAAATCAGCTGCAGTATGGAGAGCAACAGCAGGGGTGCCCTTCAGCCAGATGCCACTTCCTGCGGTGATGAGTCTTCCAAAAGAGGAGCTCTGGGGAGTGGTTGCCTCTAGAGAACGCATTCATAATATTCTCAGGTCCCAGGAGAGGAAGAACTGCTTTTACTTTTAATATGGGAATCTTATTAAGCCTTTCTACAGGGAAAAGGAAGTGAAAAACAAACGCTCCCCATGACAATCAGTTTCTTACAATATGCTGGTGGTATTGGCTTTGTTGTTTTTAGCTGAAATCATTAGCTTCCATTTTTAGAAGAACAGCTATTGACTAAATTAGTCTATGGTAGGCAATTAAGATGGATGCTGGAATTAAAAACATTTTTGGAAAAAAGCCTGGTTGGATTCTTCGTTCTAAGCCCTTGGGCAGAAACCTGGGTCCGGTTTCTGGTGGGTGTGAGCTGTCGTTTTTCTTTCTAGGTGCATGTTTTTAGCAACCTGATTTTTCTCCTCCCACTTTCTCTTGAGGATGGAAGCTTTTCTTCCTGTCATGTTAAGAAACAATAAATTATACCCTGCGAATTTGTGACATATTCTGTATTCCTGCT